CAAATGTGCAGAGCTTATTATCGAAAGTTGACGAGCTCAAGATCCATCTATCTCATCTATCCCCGGATATAATCTCACTTACAGAAACTTGGCTGAACCAGCAGGTAGACAACCGTGAGTTAACTATACCAGGATACCAGCTGTTTAGAAGAGACAGGTCAGGACGTCAGGGCGGAGGCGTACTCACGTATGTAAAACACGGGCTTATGGTCTCAGACAAAACAGATAAACTTTCGTGTACTTCTGAGGCTATTTGGCTAACTATAAAAGCACCGGGTTCACCGAGCCTTGACATCCTGACGGTCTACCGACCGCCGAGAAATGATCCCACAGCGGACGCCCGTCTGATTGAGGACCTGGAGAGATTCTCTATCCGGTCCGAAGTCTTAATCATGGGGGACTTCAACGCACCTCTTATCGACTGGAGTTCAGCTTATGCATCTGGTCCAGACCATGCTTTCGACCGACGTTTGCTGGACATGACCTTCAAGTTCTTTCTCACTCAGCACGTCTCCTTTCCGACGAGGGTGCGCGAAGGGCAACAGTCAAACTGTCTGGATCTGCTCCTTACGAAGTCACTGGACAGCGTTGATGAGGTGCAATGTCTACCCCCCCTAGGTCGAAGCGATCACGTCGTACTGTTGTGGGAGTACTCCATTTTTTCTCTGCCCGAACAGGCCACCAGGGTCAGAAGGAACATTTGGCGCGGTGACTTTGCCCAAATGAAATCTGAACTAAACACCATTAACAGGGAATCAGCTTTTTCCGGTGACATAATCAAGGATTGGGACTGGTTTAGTGAGTTACTGCACGTTCTTCTCAGAGACCACTGTCCTATTTCACGGAAGAAACTAAATTGCAGACCCCCGTGGCTAACGCAAGCTTTAAAAAAAGAAGTGAATAAAAAGAGGAGGTTATGGAGGAAATTCCTCTCGGATAGGAGCTATGTGTCGTTAAATGCATACAAAGCACAGAGGAACCTAGTTAGGAGGTTAATCCTCGGGACGCGGCGTACTTTTGAGAAAGACCTACTAAATCGAGCCGCAGAAAATCCGAAGTTGTTCTATGGTTACATAAGAAGAAGCACACGAAACAGAGACCCAATCCCGTTATTGAAAACTAGTGACGACCTAGAACTCAGTGAAGACGGAGAAAAGGCAGAGCACCTTTCACAGTTCTTTAAGTCCATCTTTACGAAGGAAAGCGCATTTCTCCCTCCCGACTGCGACATAGTGGACGGGCCAACGATTGAGCACGTCTCTTTCGCCGAAGCTATTGTTTGCAAAGAACTGTTGAAGTTGAATGAGTCTAAATCAAGGTCTTAGCAAACAACTACAGACCAATCAGCCTTACTTCAATTTGCTGCAAAATTATGGAGAAAATAGTAAAGCGAGAAATAATGCACTTCCTAGAAGAGCATAATCTGCTATGCGATGCCCAGCACGGATTTCGTAGAGGCAGATCATGCGTGACGAATCTACTATATTGTTTAGATCGCTGGACCCGGGCAGTCGATGGCAGCAATGCAGTGCACGCAGTCTACGTCGACTTTAAGAAAGCATTCGACAGTGTACCCCATCAGCGTCTCCTGTACAAACTAAACCGAACAGGCCTGAGGGGTAATCTCCTGAGGTGGATACAAAGTTTCTTGATCGGTCGCTCTCAAATCGTCCACGTCGGTGACAGGCAGTCGGCGGAGGTAACGGTTGAAAGCGGTGTTCCACAAGGCTCCGTTCTTGGCCCTACCCTATTCATTATATACGTCAACGACTGCGTCAGCGAACTGAATTGTGATGTCGCCATGTTCGCTGATGATGTTAAACTTTGGAGCGTCATCCGAACTGAATTTGACGAAGAGCGCTTGCAGGCAGACCTGACCCGACTCGAGAAGTGGTCACAGGACTGGCTGTTGCCGTTTAATGTGACTAAGTGTAATGTCATGCGAGTCGGCAGGACACGATCTCTGAACCGGAGGGTTTACCACCTAAACGGCGTACCATTGCAGGAGGTAGACGCCCAGAAAGACATGGGGGTGTGGGTAACGGCTTCTCTAAAACCGTCGCTTCACTGCTCCAAGGTAGCCAAGTCTGCGATGTCAGTCCTTTATCTTGTCAAGAGAGCTTTCTCTACCTTCGATGAGGACTGCTTCGTTAAAGTCTTTCGGACTTTCGTACGGCCACAGCTAGAGTTCGCCATTCAGGCGTGGAAACCGTGGACCTCTAAAGATCTCAGCATCCTCGAGAAAGTTCAGAGGCGGGCAACCAAACTCGTAGGTGGACAGGGTTCACTACCCTATGAAACCCGATTGTCCAATCTCGGTCTCTTTCCACTGAGTTACAGACAGCTAAGAGGCGACCTTATACAAACATTCCGTATACTGCGCGGCCAGGACTGCTGTCTCGTACCTACTGATTTCTTTGAGTTAGCGACCACAACGAACCTCCGAGGTCATCCACTTAAACTACGAGTAACTGGCGCCAAGCTGGACACTCGGAAGTTCTTCTTTTCAAACAGAGTGATCGAGGCCTGGAATGCTCTGCCTGCAGGTGTCATGTCCACCTCCGTCGAGGCTTTTAAGCGCAACTTGGACCAGATTGCCACCAATCGTCACAATGCCACCTGACAGATTGTCTAGCATTTCGTTCGAACAGTTTAGTAATGTTGTTATATTACTTCCTATATTTCAGTAACGTTTGTTTTTTAATATTGTCCCATGTCTGTTAAATGTGTGTTGGCATTCAATTCGTCTCCCTCCGAAACTGAGATAGCACCAACTATCCCTAGACAGACTACTGTACAGCACATTTAGTAACGTTAATGTTTTTAACTTTTGGAACAATTCGTTTATCTGTCTGGCTTACAAAACGTTGCCAATCTGAAGAAACTCTGTAGCCGTTTGATGTTTCAGTTTTCAAATTTTTTTTTTAATTGTTCGCCTCCTTGTAACAAATAGGGAGTTCAAAGTTTAACACCTATATTTCCCTCAAATAAACTGAACTGAACTGAACTGAAAAAAACTTCACTGACTTTAATAAACCCTGCCAGCACCAGCCGCGGCTGGCCACACCTTGCCGCCGCGGCAAGACGTGGCTACGACGCGGACAAACGTGGCCATTTGGCGTGTCTAAGGTGTGGCCTTCGACACCACAGCAAGGTCTGGCCACCCCATCCGAAAAAAAATGCGTGGCGGCGCCCCCCATTCTCCATTCGTCCCCCCACCCTTTTATGGCCTCCGTTTTTACTCGCGAGTGCACTCATCCTAGACTGGCGGCTGTCGCTGTAAGATTACTTGTGTCATTGGATCCTCCTAGCCTCGGCTAAAGCAAATCAATTGATTGACCATTAATGGTCAACACCCCGCGTAAGTGCACAACCGGACAACCGATAGGATCTCCCCATGCTCCATTCGTTCCCCGCCCTTTAATGACTTCCGTTTTTTGCTCGCGAGTGCACTCATTCTAAACGATCGGCTATCGCAGCATGATTACATGTCACTGAACCCTCCCAGCTTCGGCTAAAGCAAATCATCGGTAAACACCCTGCGTAAGTGCACAACCGGACAGCCTAGTTAGCGTTCACTCTATCCCACGACACAGGAAAGTGGACAGACAATAGTTAGAAACGACGGTTTATTGAGTATTTACGAATGAGAAATCGGTACGAAAAATACAGGCGGGGATGCAGTTCTCCAATGGACATTAAAGGGCTTCCACTGGTTATCGGCGGTTCCTGTAAAAAAAGAACTGTGGTAAAACATGGGTAATGCTCTTGTCATTGAACTAATCAATAATGTCAGTAGTAGGAGAAATTCAATTCCTAGGTGGCGTATCATAAGGAGGCTTCCTTCGGGTCAGGCGAGACGCGGGTCCGGCGTTCCAAGTAGTGAATTCGTCTGCCCGTCCCCAGGCACTGGAAATTCACGCACATAGTTCTATGTCCATGACCCTAATTTACCTCAGGGCTGATGCAGAGAAGCCCGGATGTCCTTTGACAAATTCATTTATTTGCCCGTATTCGGTTTTACGAACCACTTTGACAAGAGGCAGCGACGGCGCGAAGTAATTAGGGACGTTAATTATCTACGCGGTCAACCAGGACGGGCGCGACACTGATCACAGTAAAATGCGGGTCCGACGCAGACCCCAAACCGGTCAACGAGGGCCGGGTAAAATGAGCTGTGTCTCACTTTTCGAACTCATGAGAAGGTAGGCGGATTTACTACTTCTGCGAACGTCAGACCTCAAGCAGACATCATCGAGTTAATTACCATTGTACTTTGCAATAGTTATTACAATATAATAATTACTATTGCAAAGTACACTGTTAATTCATACATACTAGTATGTATACATACTTCCGAAATACATACTATCATTATAATTATTGAAAAGAGGGAAATAACATAAAGTGTGTTAATAGCAGTCTTTTTCAGTTAACTTACGTGTGCTTCGGAGGGGAGAGTTGTGGGCATGCGAGGTCATCAGTGGGGACTCCTTGAAACTGAACACATTTAGGCAGTAATTCAAAGCAAAATGTCGTAATGTGTGAATATTGCGCCTGCGTCTCGATCGTCCTCCATAACGGTCCTTCGACCCATGGAACCAATTAATGGCCGTAAGTCGAAGTACCTCCCTGTTGCAGTTGCTAAAACGGGGGTTTTGGCCGATGGCATCTGTATGTGCCAATAAGAAAAAAGTAGACCTACCGTTGACGATGCTAAATAAAGGGCAGGCAAGGAACGACCGCTTCTCCTTGGATCCGCCCTTCCAGCAGGTGTAACAAAGCGGCGGACCAATGAGAGCAGTCAGAAGATTTCCGACAAAGTCTTTTTCACTCCGCCCTCCCACCACGGCCAGCTGTCTGATCTAAGAACAGTCAAACAAATATACACATACCGCCTTGTCTGCCAATTCCGCCTCAGTAGTTAGCCGACGAACGAAGTCTTCGTAGGCTTCGGTTGTGCACAGTAGCAAATGCAGACGAGAGGGCCCGACGTCGGCAGCAGTGGCACCCCCCTCTAATGCACTGACAGCATCAGTCATTGTTGCCTGCAGTTGCCACACACTGTTGTTGAGGGCGACCATCGGTAATAATTAATAACAGGCAGTTACCGATATGAAGTCGATGGCGTAGGGTGACTCGACTGTATTAATACAACAGTTCTAGTTGCGTGCCATTTTGGAGAGTAAGAGAGTATACTCTTTTCTCAAGACCCGCAGTGACACACAAACGTCCAGATTTTATACCAAATTTGCGTACGACATTCAGTTCTTATTTGTGTAGACCATGCTGAAGGTAATTCTGAGTTCCATTTCGAACGCAAAACACACGGACAGAACAGTTTTTGGTCAAAGTTTATCAAAATGCTAAGTTCAAATACAACCAGCTCCCAGTCTCTACAATAACAGTAAAGGAATAAGAATACACATTGCGAAAAGAACGTCAGATAAATACATACATAAATATTTCAAAGCATTACTTTCCGCAAATTCAGCTGTATCCAAAATTTTAAAAATGGATGTCTTCACGTGAATGAATTAAATCAGAGTAATGCTCTCGGCCGTCGCAATTTCAAACTAACTGGTGGTTTTGGCAGATCTGGATAATTCAATTGACTTAGTTGTAAAAAACTAAGAAGCTCATGGTGAGACCTCGTAGTTCAGGTGGTTAGATCGTTGGCTGAACTTAAGCGCGACATTTGCTGTCGTGAGTTCGAATCCCACCTACGACGCCGAGTTTTTTGCAATTGGGTCAAATGAATTACTCTCAGATGTCGCGGAGCTAGGCGTAATTCGCACAAAATTGAATTTTTTCATTTTCTGCAAAAGTCGGCACTCCCCAATCGATGCATAAGTTCAGCACCAGACGCATCGAAATTTGTACATTTTATCACTTTTGCTTTTTTTTATTTTCATGCGCATCTGCCTTACTAAGCAGTCGTTAGAACAGGCGACTTCTGAAATTCTAGTTTAAGGTAAAACTACATACTTCTATGATGATGAGCATTCATTTATAAACGAAGCAATGCCGTGCGGCCTTGGAGAAGGCACCACGGACGGCCTTCGTACTACAGAGTTGCTTTGAGAGATTCGTGGTATTCACGAGGTTTATCATCTACTACAGTAGAGGCTAGTCATCAGCTCCTGATACGCTCCCTGCAATCAGCAGGCCAGGAAGACCATGTCAACGGTTACTCGGTGTGTTCGGAATCAGCACTCCTCTACTTGAAGACGTTCCGACACAAGCTGCATATTAAGGCGATTGAGAAGAGAAACGAACGAGAATTTTCCCTGTGATTTTGCGGAGAGCGATGCCTCTAGAATTATGAGTGACACATTTAATCCTGCATTTGTAAGTTTGCATGATGGTGACCTATGTGGAACCAAGGAGCATTTTTCCTTTTCGCTATATATATTTAAACAGCAAGGTAGGGTATTCCATGAGCGTGGCCTTTCGAATATATAGACAATGGCTGGAATTGCCTCTGCTCCCGGTACTCCTCAAATAAACAACTAATGAACTGTTCTGATTAGGTTAGGCAGGAAAACAAAGGATCGAGGTCGTCGTTGCTGCTAACTTGAGCAGAGCACATGATGACTTGTTCTCATAGTGTGAAGGTGTTGTATGGCGACTACAGTCACAACTTTGATGCTGTACACCATCACGGGAGCCCTTGCAGTTCCCGATGGTGGATGCTTCCTCAAGGTCTTCGACACGTTTGTTAGGCCGCATCTTGAGTATGGGATCCAGGCCTGGACGCCCCGATTGCAGCAGGGTCACAATCTACTCGAAAGAGTGTAAAGGCGAGCTACAGAATTAGTGGGATTCCGAAGAGCACTGTTATATGAGATCCGCCTAAATAACCTTAAGCTCTATCGTCTGAGTTATATGCATTTGCGCCTAGACTTGTTACGAACTTTCCTCATCGTTCGCGGCTTGGACTGTGCCCTCCATTGTGTGATGACCTTTACAACTCGCCCTTACAGTTAGACTCCGTGGACATTCCTCCAAACTCCGTATATCGTAAAGATAATATGATATGAAGAAGCACTTTTCCACCAACCGTATAATTGATGCGTGGAAATAAGCTGCCTGGGACGATTGCACGTTTTCGTCTGTGGAGACAACCAAACATTGTCTTAATAGACATATGCTGCAGCAACGAGCGGACTTTACGACTGTGTAACCGTAAAAATAATTAATCTGTATGAATCTAGGTGTACATTCACTTGACGCAGTAATATCTTCAAATCCATGTTCATCTTCTCGACTTTTGTATGACAAATAGTGGGTCTAAATGCATAAGCCTCAAATACCCTGAACTGAATTAAAATCTAAATCATTCCGGTGAATACCACAAATTATTTGGGTGGCTGTTGCTGTTTTGCTTATTTTATGAAATTCATGCAGCATAAACGAGCGCTATCGGATTTCATGTCTCCCATTTTGCTCTTTCTAATACAAAAAAGAAAGTTGTATCAACATCACGAAATTAAGATTAAATTGATTCACAAAACAACATAGTACAAAGGACGCACGTAATTGGTACGAAAGGAGCAGGTAAAAATAACTTCCAAATTAGTATCGTTAAAAGCGATATTACTTTCCTCTCCCGCTAATATATAGTCCGTCGAATAGGTGCTTTGGAGGTTGAGATCCTTTTCTTACTATGTAATATCCGGAATATTTGACGTCTCTCAGAAAAGCTGTGCAAACTTATAACGTGAAAATAGTTTGTCATAACGTAATAACTGGGGTTACAATTTTCGGTTAAATCACATTGGCTTAAAAGAGAATTTGGAGCCAATTAACTGAAGGTTTTCTATCCCAGTGAAAGCCGTCTGTCAGTCACTGTAGGGTTGAGCGATTCTATGTTGCGGAGGTGTCGACCTGATTTTCTCCGATATACTTCGGCAGCTGTCACAAAAGAAAAGCATATTAGCCCGCCAATATGTCTAACCCGATGCTCTGAGGTCACCTGAGAATGAAAAATGCTTGTTTTCATGATATTTTTCGTGCTTGAACCGGATTTTCGACGTATTTCCACATTGTCAGTAGCTTCATTCTTTCATCTTTACTTAATAGCCTTTTCCCTGTTCTGTAACTTGAAGCCCTTTTCCTGCACCTCATTTAAGCCCTTAAGTTTAATATAATTGATTGTTCATTATGGCTTTCTGTCTGCTGGCCGACTTCAACAAATCAGTCCTGTCTCTGTTTCTTTCGAAAACTGCAGTGCGTGACACATTTGCAAATTTTACTGGTAGGGCATTTAATTATTTCATAGTCTCTGATTACGGGTTAAATGACAAACTCCTACCTCTGACGGCCTGATAGGCATCAATTACTTAAATATCCAGTGGTGCCCACGTTAACCTTGGACAATTTTCACGTCTGACCTACACATACTTGATTGGTCGTCGTTTGCCGTCTATCTAACACTTTTGTCACCTTTCTTCTCGTGATGGTATGTTTGCATATTCTCCCCCATATCTGTTTCATTTCAGCCGCAAAACGAGCACATAGAGCTTCACAGGAAGCGGCATGGATACCGGCTGGACTATTTCGAGAGGAAGTACGTTTGTGTTAACTCGTAACATTGTCAAATACCTTTTTACTAACTCGTTTCGGAAGTGTGGATACCTCGGACCCTATAGGCACTAAGTATAATCTCTGTGGCACAGTAGCACCGGGGCTAGAAATCTTAATTGTGTCCCCAACGCCCGTTTCAATGATATTTGCGTAGCTGATGTGAGCTTTCAAGATCGCATCGGAAATCGTGCGTGGCTAGCTTTGCTCCGAGGATGCTTATTAAGTCAACGCCAGATTGCTTCCTTGGCATCAAGAAACCAGTGTACATGCTAGAAACCGCATAAGAATTCATGGGACATGATGGTGTGGCCCAACCATTTAAAGTTGCGTTATGTAACGGAAAAAAATATATGCAACGTTTTTCATCATATTCAAAGGAGACTAGATATACATTGTTTGTAAACTTAAGTCATTATTATCTAGTGCTGTCCTTCCTGTGCGTCCTCCTGAGTTGCCGAAACTTCTATATGATGTGATCTCTCTAGCTATCCGCCTAGCCCTTCGTTAACAGCTCAGATTTGGGGGCTTGTGTGAGGCTTATGATCTCTTTGACTGACTGGGCAAAGCTTTCGCGAGTAGCTCAGTCTTACTGCCACATCTCCGCCACTGACTCCAAGCACGCAGAGACTTCTGGACGGGTTTTGTCTGCAGGGACTGCCGTCAAGTTTACTAATCACAAACTAACCCCAGTCTTACCGTGGAGGCCCGGCTTGTGCTAATATGATGTGAACAGGGGTTTGCCGTTTTGTGCCGATATGAAATATGAATTTTCTTCGTGGCACTGACAATGGCTGTCTTTTATTCGGCTTTGGCTGGAAATGACCAACTATCTAAAATCTATTATCAGGAATATTTCACAAAGTTGATCCGTCCCATGACTTACGCTTTATCTCTATTTTTTGTCATAAAACCGGCGTCTACTAGTAAAGGTGACATTTTTTAACTTTTAGACGTAAGAAGGAGGCTCGTGAGCCACATGAACGCAGTCAGAAGGCCCGAAAACTTCGTGGCATTAAAGCCAAACTCGCTAATAAGGAACGATTTAAGGAGAAGGTTCAAATGAAGAAAACGTAAGGTTCAGGTTTTTCTTATCCCCTTCCTCGGACCCTAGTATTCGTATGCATGAGCTGCGAAATGTGCGACAGAAGGCCGGAGAGGCTGGTGGCCCTGGCGAAAAGCCCGTTTTCCTGCTTGATCGTGAGGAACAAAATATTTCGAAAATCCTCTCTAATACGGTCAAACAAAAGCGCGCTGAAAAAGCTGTAAGTACTCGAAGTTCCTGTTTCAGTCCTCTTTAATTTGACAACTTATTTTTTGAGTTAGTGATCTAAGCGAGGTTCACCGCAGACCATATTTTGGAGTGTTTGACAGTTTAATTTTAACAAGTCGGCATAACTTTTACAGTTGATTGTGCCAGGCGCTGACATTTTTACGGGTTTGCGTGATTTGTATATTCCTCTCCTCACTGAGAGGAACTGATGAGACGTTCAGTAAACTTCGGCGTCGGTAGCAGGCTGAAATGTCACCTATCCTGCTCCGAATGCTAGTTTCTAAACAGCGGCCTGCCTGCGTGAAGTCTTCATTTTAATACAGCTCGTTAGAGTTAGGACAATTAGTTTCCGTTCACTTTTGTTATTGTGGACGTTCGTCTATTAAGGATATGGAAGTCTGCCTTTGTGCAGCTGACGCTTTTTTAATAGTAATAACTGGCCATTCCTGCTATTCATGAAGCGTGTGTACGTGCTGTCAGGCATTTCGTCTCGTTGACCTATGTCTGTTCTCTCTGTGATCATATTTCGGAGATCTCGCCGACTCCACCTTTGGAAATCTCGGTGGACTGCTACTCATAGCATCACAATCTTATGTTACATTGATAGCCTTTACGCTGACGATGGAGATCGTTGAGGGCATGGTAGTCTACAATAATGCCGGAATATTCCGACTAGCTCGACTGACAGACAGGCGGAAGGAACCAGTTGTGGCCCTGGGACACGTGACGTCCGAGTAGGGAACATTATCCACTTTTCTCTCGCCCAGTTCCGGGAAACTGGTCGCCCTTGCTTAGTGGATTCAGTATGCTTCGAGAATTACAGGCAGTACTTCTGAAAACCCCACTATTGTGCGCACCAAGCAACTTGGTACTGTAAATCCCTATTTTTGAGATAAAAGTAGGTCAGTTAGTTTTGTAAAATATCGTTATCTTGCCAACGCCTAGTCAACGCATCTGGGAAAACTGATGAACACAAAAGAATCTAGTAGTGCTTGAGGCCTTCCAAGGATAGCCTCTGGCACGTTGTCATATAAGCCATTCCGCCGCGCAAATGTACTCTGAGTGAGGAGTCCAGATCGATGAAGCCTCGACAGTTTCATTCTTCGCTTCTCTGAACGCCTATGGAGGCAAGCAGGGTCCTTTTGCCCACTTTGGACCAAGATCTTCACGCCCGAATGTCATGTCCTAAATGGAGATAAACGAATATGCCCCTAGCCTTACCATCAAGGTCTTCGCTGAGAATCGCAAATGTCTGTTGGCGTCTTGTGGGAAGCCTATGACACTTTCTGAAACTATAGTGTTTCAAGCAATTCAAGTATCAAAACACTGCGGTCTTTTTATGTACGTACCGCACGGAATATTGTCTTATGTTACTGACTGAGTTGCAATTTCTTAGACGTAGTCGGCGAACCATGCACTTTTGTACATTAAATGCAGACAGTCATTGTCCAGACTTATTTTGTAGCCAACGTCAATTATTTAAAGGCCTGTTTTGTCCTTTATTTTTCTAATGACTTGCCGGGACCTGCGCATATCATCGTTGGGGGGCAGGGCTGGCTCTGGAGCACCACTGGCTATGTTTTCTCACTCGGTTGTTGATAATCGGTACGCGCTTGCGTACATCAGACTTCCCATCATACAAGAACAAGGTATAAACTTTTACACTCGAACGGCAAGTGATCTGTTTCCATTAGCAGTTTACAGGGAGCTGCGAGAGGGTCGACGTGCTCTGCAGACAAGTCTTCGAGAATTAGTTTGTGTAGTCTTCTACCTAGATGTGTGTTGATTCATTTACTGGACGACCCGCCTTACATCTCTAACCGCAGGGAAGGCGGCTTCGAAAGCCGTAATGGCCCGTCTGACACCCAGCGCTGGAGAGTCAATGGCGTTTTGTCGTAACGGCTAGTTGGAAGAAGCTGAGCAGACTTTTGACTTTCCATGCTCAATCTGTCGCTAAGTTCCCATTACTGCCCTTGAGACGGAACGTTCCGCCCTCGTTCGAAGGCGTCAGTGTTTGCGGAAAATGTGGTGACCTGAAAATTTTAATCTCAAATTAAGTATAGCCGTTGCTTTGTCTGTCGAATATAACACTAAATATTAGCAAGTTTCACGAGCAAAATTTACTGCCTGCTGCTTACAGTTCCCTCAGTGGCCTCAGTTAAACAAAAATGAATAAGTCGGCCTATTGTATTTCTGTAGTGAGTGTACTCGTAAGTAGAGCATGGAAGATCTGTTTGGTAATTTGCTGGAGACCATGCAAACGAGCTCCTAAATACATGGCTTCTACATCCAAGTTTATGAGTCGCACAGGAGTGTGTGTTTCTGTGTCTCATATAGGGGTCGTTTATGTGGTCACAAGGTGCCAGCCCTATGAAGCGTGATTATGTTTTTAGAACCATTTACACTCATACGCGTTTTGCCTGGTTTTTCATGCCAATTGGATTGCTTCTATTTTGCAGCGACCAGCATAATCAGCCCTATTCGCCATTTTTTCATCCCTCTTTCAGGGAAAGTGGCAGGTGCCACTGCCAAAAGTACGGACTGTGTCTGACGCTGAGGCCTTTCGCGTGGTGAAGTCGGGTAAATCCAAGCGAAAGGGGTGGAAGCGAATGGTTACAAAAATGTGTTTCGTGGGTGACAACTTCACCCGCAAACCACCGAAGTTTGAACGCTTCATCAGGCCGATGGCAATGCGTGTGAAACGTGCCAACGTTACTCATCCCGAGTTAAAGACAACCTTCTGTCTACCTATAATAGGTGTGAAGAAAAATCCAAGCTCTCCTCTCTTCACATCACTTGGCGTCATCACAAAGGGAACTGTAATAGAAGTAAGACCCTCCTTATCTAAGATTGTTTTTGGCAGCATGCACTTTTATAACAACTATTACATCCTAGGGGACCATTGTCTGTATCAGTGAACCAACGCCCACTAGACGGCCGCCTCGCAAGCACTAACTTTGGTGTTGTCATCGATATGCTTGCAATTGCTGTCTTTTTAGAAATCCTTAATCCTTTTTTGTCGTGTTAACCCGGCCCGGTGGTAAGCAGGAATGCTAGGAGAAAAAATATTCCATAGTAACGCTAGATCTGCCCGTGGTGGCTGGCATTGGTGTGAAGAGGAACACTGGTCACCACCCATGTGATAAGAATCACAACAGTTTCCTTTTTGACCATACTGATGACGTTCCAAGGCGTTTGAACCACTCTATCTCGTGCTGTTCTATGAGCCTTTGTTTCATTCTAAGCGCGCTGAAATACAGGCTGTGTTGGAGTGTCGATCATGGAATAATGAAGTAGCCCAACAATCAATCCCTCAGTATGTCCAGAATTCGTTATTTCCCAGTCTCCGTTTCCGTTAACGATGTTCAAGGCTATTATAGTGTCCACAAAGACGATGTTGAGACTGATCTCCATCTCCGCGCTGCAAAGATAGTGTTAATGCTTTCCTATTGTTTTCGGAATGCAGGATAAGTATCTGGAAGAATTCCTTGTTCCAAGTGTAAAGTCAGGCCACTCAAAAGTACACGGGCAGAGATATTTTTATGGTAGAAAGATCGTTCGTCGATCAAGTTATGGGACGTGCTCGCCCCATATCCTGTTTTTCCTTTTTAACTGAAGAAGATATGCCCGTGCTTATCCAATGTCTGTCGGTTTCCGTTTTGCTTGTAGAGATGTACAGTGGAGGCATACTTCATGACCTGTGCGGTTTCTGCCTTTCTCCATAGCTGAGTCAACGTGTCTAATCGGCGGCCGCCGTATCTGTTGATTTCGGCTGGGGTTGTGCCAGCTTCTAGAGCCGTTTGACATTGCTGTCTTGTCTTGGTCGTCTTCCGTACTGTGGGGATATGCTATGAAAGTATCGGTTTTCACTTCAAGAAGTCACTTGGTCACTTCTTCGGAGTTGAGGACTTCTTCGACCCGGTCTGCATTTCAGTGAAGCCGGTTATTTTCGGGAAGGGTGGGTTTCTTTGAACCTTCTCCGATGTCGGCGTGCAGACCCAAGAACTTCGTGGTAGTGACGTAGGTGGCGTCCATCGTTCGCTCACAATACACTTACTTGCCCCAGATTGCTAGGCATCTTTCTGCTGAAAGTCCATCTACGTTTGGCCAGGTCCACTGTCGCGCTCAACTTCCTTAGGCCTGTCTGTTTCTGAGACCGTCTTTGTCGTTGATAATGCATTCCTATCCCCCTTATCGCAATCATTTCACGGTGACCCCGCCTCGCAATAAGCGCGTAGCCCATTAACTGCCAAGGGAATGATCGAATGTGCGCTCGTGTTTTCTTCTAGCGATTGGGGAGGCGAACGATGGCGTTGTCCTGAGGGCTGGGTTCTGCGCTAGTCTTCAGTAGAACGCGGCCGTTACTGCTGGAGTTGCACACTTTTGCAATTTAACATCCTCAAGTGATGTGATCTGTGCTTTCTTGTGTTTCGAGGTCACCAGTCACAGTTAGTCTGTCCCCCCTGTGGCACAGACACGTAGTGAAGGTGTACTTTCGTCGTGAATGTGCTCATGCACTAACGACAGGGGTGAGCTTCCAACGGGGAGGAAACTGGACTATGCTGAGCCGATCTTAGTTTTACGCAAAAGAGAAAACAGCTTCTTGTCAATATCATTTTTGATTGCAAAGGTGACTAGCTCCATCCCTTTCTCCTAGGACGTCAGGTCCGAGAGAAGGTATCTGCTCCCCTTCCTAGAAATAAGTCTCGCTGACGGGGGAGCTGTCCACATAGCATCCGGCTAGTTTGCGAACAATTAGATTTGTCTTATCTGGTTGGGCGGTCGTTTGCGTGCACAAAAGAATATCAAAATGGACGAAACCACTGTCTAGAGGACGATGGTGACCAACGTCATTCTTACTTGTTGTGTCCCGACAGCAGAACTTGCGGCCATCGGATACAGTCGGTATGGGCAGCGTGAATCGGATTTTCTCAGGGCACCGCTTCTAGTCCCCTCAATAATTCGGTGGAAACAATGCGTCTTTTGGCGCAGCTTATTCAACGTTCCCACCAACGTAGGCGATGAAACGAACCAAATTAGCCAAGGTCTCACATGGTTCAACTGGACTTGGGTAGAGAGACGAGGTATTGAAGTGGTCAAAGTAACTTGCTTCGGAATTGACTTTCCTTAGCTTAATTTTCTCATTGCAGTCGCATTGTAACCCAGTTACAAGACTGCGCCATAACCGGTGATCAACATTGACAAATTGCAGTCTACGTGTGTCACAACACGGCTAATTTCCGTTAGTAACCGAACGAGACTACATGTTGCTGAGGGCAGAGACGCCGGTTACCCCATCCCATTTAGCTCGCCGATCGAAGCGGTTACTGGGCTGTGGTCGAGCGCTGAGCAAAGCTTCGTGTGACCGCTGGTGGGAGCAGAATGGCCATTCCATGCGGTACGATCGCCGGATCAACAGGGTGTACCATCCTCCCTGGGCGGCCCATACAGACGTAGGAAGTGACTATTCCGTGCCTTTGTGAATTCAAACCCCATAGCCCTTAATTTTATATTGCGCTCTTTCTTACGCTTGGTCTTTTCCACGTTAAAATAAACTTCACGCCCCATTATTCGCGTGATGGTAACATCCTTCTTTAAAACTAAGTGCTTTTCGGCAGAATGTCAAACATTAATTGCTACAAGTTTGATCAGAATTTTTCACCCCGGCCTTTGCAAACCTAGATCCAGGTATTTACTTACGTTTTCCCGCCATTATTCGATGACCGAAGTTTTGCACACCGTTTCCTTTTTGCAGGTAAACGTCAGCGAACTAGGTCTGGTAACACCAGGAGGCAAGGTGGTGTGGGGAAAGTACGCCCAGGTGACCAACAATCCAGAGAACGAGGGCTGTGTTAATGCTGTCCTCATAGTATAAGCAACACAAATGCCGAACCACTGTACAGTTTATGAAGCTATTTTTCCTTTAATAAAATGTGCATCCAATCTGAGTCCTTCTGGAACCTTACAATTCAGAGTCAACCGCGTTCTAGAGAACATATTTGGGATCCCGAAACAGTCGCTGCTGGGAAATTCCGAACAACCTCTGTCTCCACACTGAATACTTATGTCACAATCACTGTATTTGTTCGGAGTCAGAGACAGGCGAGCTGGCCCTGTCGTTTTAAATACGGAATAAAAACGCCTCCCATCGTTTTAAAATCCAAGTGTACTTCTGGAGGCAGTGGTCCAAGTGCGAGTTTCTTTGCTCGAAACCCCGTAGACGGAATTGGGACGGGCTTACGTTCGGGCCTGGACCCAAGGCTATGTCTTGCCACTGATGGTTGTCAGAGAACTTCCTGCGTTCGATTGGCATGCCGACTGAATTAATAGATAGGCCGACAGCTTAACGGACAGGGTGACGACGACTGCGCGAGATTCTAGCACACAAGTTGTTCAAAGGGGGTGACCGCTGTCGGGTGTCGCTTAATGAACGATTTGATCACAAGGAATCCGAGGGCTCGCATGCTGATTAGCTGCTAAAAGTGGCTTCGGGTTTTTGAAAAGGACCGCAGACCCGTTGGGCACAAACCCGTCACGGAAGACGTAGCACTGGCAAACAGGAGTCAAAAAGCCATGCGTTTGTGAAATCGTTCGACTGGCAGGACAGCGTTCATGCCCCCTCAAAAAGTTCGCAAACTAGCAACTTTTTCGAGACTTACGAGAAGTTTGATGCATAACGCCCTAACAAGTTCACAGGGTAAGTAGCCAATTCAGTTTTCTCTCGGCCCCAAGGATTCATCTGACCACGGCAAAGACGGTGACAAGGGCGTAAAATCCGAGGGATAATTCTCTAGATTCTGGATTCCACACGTGCTAAAGTTATTGTGAAATCTATTGTTGGGGTATGGGCCTCGCTTCGACAAAAATCACAAATAAGGAAGATATAAGCAGTCGTCCATGTATATACATGGTTTTTTCTTCCAAAAAGTGTACCACAAAGGAGTCATATTTACAAGTGAATGGCCAAGTGAATTCATTTTGCGTCTTTTGATGCCATATGGCGCATAAGCAGTGTGTTGAATCTCTCGTATTTCTTTACGTCTTGTGCCAGTTCTGTCACATACCTGAGAGTCTAAGCCTACATGAAAATTCCACGAATGCTTACTCACATGTTCGTTGTCAGTAGCTTTAACTACCATTTTCTGGTCCTTATGTTGATACTTCGTTAAAAGTCGGAACTATGACAAAATCGAAGGAAGTTTTTTGTTTACCTTGTGGGGGTTGTCTATGTAAAGTTTCTCAGCCGCGCTGGCGAAGTCCTCCCATGTTGCGAAAAGCGTCATCGGTGTCAGGTTGACACGACCCAATGCCTTTGAAATGCGCGCGACCAATTTACTGCACTAAAAGACCTGTTCGACTGTATAATTTGTCGCGGTGTTCAGTTCGTAATGAATGCCTTAGTGCTATTCGCAAAATGAACGCGGTTAGTAGACAAACGGATTCAGGTACCCATTTAGGAGAAATATACGAGTGTAGTTTGGGGCAAGACATCGAAAGCTCACCAAAAATAATAGGTGGAGAAGGCTACTTCTAAAAATTTAGATTCAGTTTGATGAATTGCGAACTATTAGGTTAAGGAAAACGTGACAAGTGCCGATTCGAAAGTTAGAAACGACGAGAAAATTAAGGAAAGCTTAAAGCAACGTGGGAGTTTCGCGTTCTTTGAATGTGTTTGGAAAAGTCCAACGATGAGGGAGTGGAAGCGACGAGCATTGTTTCATGTTGTGATCGAACTAACACATGTATGGCAGCTATGCAAAGTCGTGAATGAGTCCTCTTTCAAGATAGACAAATAGAATTACTACTTCACTGTTTAATAATTTATATCAGGCTTCGGTACTTTTTAGTGTAGAAAATGACATCCTCATTTCTGTCTTAACTTTGGGTTTATAAAGTTGCAGTTATTGCCCTCTGAAACTGCATATGAGCGGGGCGGAGCCAGTACTACCAGTTGTATGGACTGTCATGTACGCTTCAGTTAGATTAAAGTGACTTTCGGACTGACACCGTAGTTTTTCAATTACTACTTGTTCGTCGACGCGATTGGTCTACGTTGCTCAACCTTATACTAACGAGTATATCCTGCCACAAATGTTTGGCCGGTAATGCCCACGCTCTGAGGTGTAGCGCAGTCGACGCCAAATAAGCCCGGTAGTACAGACATGACTAATGTGCTAGCAGTACATGGGCATCGCCCGCTAAACACACGTTTGTATCAGTGGAAACCTCTGTTTTGCCCTGATCCGGCACCTTGTCCTAATCTTTTTTATGAAACTGTGTTAGGCAGAGCAGCCATACCCTGGCAATCGCCCTTGATCGACGGGCTAGCCCAGATAAGGGTGTCCGAAATACGTTCGTCTTCATAACCGGCATTCCTGAGCTAACCCGAAGGTCCGTCCCAATCCGAACAAAGTGTCTCACAAAGAGGCTGAAAAGCAGTCCTGTAAGCGTTCCAGTCTACCTTGTTTTATCTTCCCGCTAAACGAAGGTCGTTTCGCAAAGTGGGACTCGGTGACTGCGCGTGGTTATTCGGCAGTCGCAAATAAAGTTAGGATTGCTTACCCCCACGTAGGTGAGGGATTAGAGAAGACATATCACACGAATATTGGTAAAACATAACGTCGGTAAGCTAAACGTGGCTTGTGGACGCAAAAGTGCGACCAAAACACTAAAATAAGCAACCGCATTACAACAGAACCATCGCGTGAATCCACAGACTTCCTCAAAAACTGCATGACTGACGTTGATTGCTCCAACAGCTTTGAACGTTCGTCTCCTTTTTAGACAACCTAATGGCAAATCGCACGTAAATGAGAAGATATCTGCTGGCTCGCAGAAAGACCAGGTACAAACTAAACGGCGCGGCAGCTGGTGAGACGCTTCTCTGAGCAGGATTAACTAGAATAGGTAGACGCCGGACTAAGGTTATTTTTTGATGGATACCCAAAGGCGGAGAAGTGGAATGCCAGAGCCACCGTCGTTATCACGGGTGACGTCATGAGGCGCCTGTCCCGCCAGGTGGATTACGTTAATGACTGTGTCATAACCATGCGACCACCGTTTCTACGGGAACGAGTCGGCCCTCAATAACAATGGCATTGCCAATAGAAGCGAAAAAACGAGTCTTAGGAAGCAGCCTTGAAGAAGAAGACACGATCACCGGGACAAGAGCTTTATTAGCCTGACGTCTCGGAATCCTGCTCAAATCCATCATCTGAGACAAGAGCACCCACACTTACCTGCTTTTGTCTCTGATGATGGATTCGAGCAGGAATCCGAAACGTCAGGCTAATAAAGCTCTTGTCCCGGTGATCTTGTCTTCTTCTTCAACCATGGCATCTTCCTCATCCTAAGGGTCTGTATGAAAAGCAGCCTCCTCATGATCACTCGTTTATCCGTCTCCCAATGATTCGCAGGACGATTTAGATGTACCTTGCTAGCGTCAATGATATCTGCCGGACTACGCCCCAGTTCTCAGGAGCGACGAGCGATACATTCCCGTGATTAGTGCGATGCGTGGTTTTAGCTGCTTGACGAGTCACCGCCTTCTCATCTTCAGGATGAGGTGGTACTACAAGCGCACAGGCGAGTGCGAGTAAGTCAGCACCGACTGAACTGAGTACTACATTTCTCGGTACGGCTGAACACCGACTGAATTTAAGTAGCCGTATGTAATACAACTTGAACAAATGCTAGCCCGAAGACGCAAAGCACTGTGTGAAATCAAAGGCGTGAGCTGCGCAGATGCCAACCAGACCACGGAGTTTGAAGTCCACGGCCGCTAACATCGATAGCACCATGACTGACTCACATCAGTGCATTTGAGGGAAAGAGTCCTCTCTACATGAACTTTCTATTTGTCATAAAAATCGGAAGAATTAGCATAAATGCGAAGAAATCACTGCATCAAGTGAATTTAGACCTAGGCCCACACAGGTCAATGGTTTTTATTGTTACACAGTCATATAGTCTGCCTGCTGCTGCAACATATGTCTATTAAGCCGATATTTGAGTGTGTCCACAGACGACAACGTGCAATCGTCACCGGCAGCTTATTTCCACGCATCCATAATACGGTTGGGGAGAAGTGCTTCTTCACATCCTATATTCTTGGCCGTATACAGAGTTTGGAGAAATGTCCTTGGAGTCTAACTGTAGTGAGGATTGTAAAGGCTTTCACACGGTGGAGGACAGAGTCCAAGCCACGCACGATAAGGAAAGTTCTTAACAAGTCTGGGCGCAACTACATATAACCCGGACGACATAGATTAGGGTTATTTAAACGGATCTCATATGACAGTGCTCCTCCAACGCCCACTAATATTGTGGCTCGTCTAGGGGCACTTTCGCGTAGATTGCAAACCACTCGAGGCCTGGGGTCGCATATACAAGATGCGGCCTTACAAACGTGCCGAATACTTCGGAGAAGCATTCTTCATCAAGAACTGAAAATGCCCACTTGACGATGTACATCATTGAATTTGCGACTGTAGACGTCTTACAGCACTATGTTGAAGGTTTTAGCATGTCTGTAATCCAAACTCCGAGATCCTTCTGCGGTTCTGTTTCTTGAAGCGGCAATCCACTCAGGGAGTAGGTCCGCATATTAGGGACCTCATTCGGATTCTCGAGGCGCAGCGTGATGTATTTGCTTTAGTAGAAGGACCATTCGCCCAAGCGACGAAGATTTCCTTGGAAAATTCTTTTGTCGGAAGCAGTATGGATGTCATTCCAAGTTTTAATGCCGTACGCAAACATTGCCCAATCACAGTCCCATTCCTGTACAGAGTCATAAATGAACAAGAGAAAGAGGATCGGTCCGAGCGCTTATCAATGCGGTCTACATCCTCTATAACTGTGCGCCTTGTCTGCTGTTGCTCTGGGCAGACAGCCTATAAACGGCCGACGGGGATATTCTCGATTCATTTAAGAAATCTGCCTGTGATGTCCGTCACTCTCAACTTGTAAGGGTGGTGTGGTGCGGAACGCTGTCGAATGACCTCCGGGAATCAATGTAGGTCTCATGCACAGTGTGTTTTGCGTCCAATGCTTTTGTTCAGCTTTGAATTGCATGTGGTTTATTCGTTACGCACGATCTTTCCCCAACGAAAGACTATTATGCATTGGACAAGAGGCCGTGGGTTTCCAAATATGTCGTAAACTTCACTTTGATGGCTTTTTTCACGACTTTGTTGCAGATTGCGGTCAGACTGATGGGTCTGCAGTTCGTCGTAAGTGCACGATTACCGCATGTGTAAAGCGGTGTGATATAGGCCGTTATCCAGTCTGCTGGAGGAATTCCAGCATTGAACGATCTCTGACACAGAAAACATATTGCTCAGCAGGTGTTGAAACATATAAATATCAGCGGAAATCCTCTCCTTCTGGGTAGGAGTATTTAACTCCGGCTTCTGCTGTCTTCCATCGAAACGGGAGGATGCGTTTTTATTACCCCAGCGTCATGGGTATCCGCACCTGTACATCAGGCCTTTTCAAAAAGTATGTTATTTGCCCGTTTTTGGAGTTTCGCTCTTTCTCTTTGCCTTTTTAACTCTAGAACTGCTAACCACATTTTGTTTACCATTGTAATCAAACGTCCCTTACCACTGAGCCACGGGCCCATTGTCCTGTCGGTTACGATCGGGAATATACAGTAGCAGAGGGGGCGCTCGCCGATCGTTTGTACGGAACTCACTCGTCCCGTCGTGCCTTAGGGGTCCTCTCTCTCTCTCGAGTCCAACCAGCAGCCGCACAGCAGTGCATGATATAGGCAGAATGGTATTACCGACAAAGACCAGGGAGACTGGAATAGCCATTTCTAGCTTATTAGCTGTCGTCAAGCAGTCATACCCAACCCCGAAGTGTGGAACATTCGAGGCTCGAACTCGCGACCTGTTAGTTAGAAGTTCAATACTTCTAACCACTGAGCCACGAATCGGTTGTCCGATCGGGGAACGCCCCCTCTACCACTGTATATTCCCGATACCAACCGAAAGGACAAAGGGCCCGTGGCTCAGTGGTTGAAGGCGTTGGACTTATAACTAATAGGTCGAGAGTTCAAGCCTCGGGTGTTTCAAACTTCAGGATTGGGTATGTCGTCTTGACGACGGCTAATAAGCCAGAAATGGCAATCCCAGTCTCCCTTGTCTTTTTCGGTAATACCATTCTGTTTATATCATGCGCCGCTGTGCGGCTGCTGGTTGGACTCGAAAAGGGGAGTCCCTGAAGCACAACGGGATGAGCGAGTTCCGTAGAAACGATCGGCGATTGCCCCCTCTACCAG